TGTTTTGTGGTGCTTGAGATTTTCTGCTAGTATCTCGCACCTCCTTGGTTCAACGTTCAGTGGATATCAACCTTGTTGACAACATCAACTGTGTTATAAATAGACGGAAATTGACGCAGAAGTATCCACTCGTCAAGGGGATGTTGCCGTTTGTTATTCTTAAGTCTTACTCAGACTTTGATGAGCCGGCATCGTTCGTGGAACAAAAACTGGACATGTGGAGGTCTGTGGTCGGGACGTGCGGCGTACATCATCAACCCTGGAAACCAGTCGCTGGTGGTTGGCTGGAGGTCGTCTCTCATACCTCTTAGTCTTACTTCTTCTTTTCTTGTTCTCTACTCTCTTTGCCTCTGTCTGTCTTACTTCTTTTTTTCTTGTCCTCTGTCTGTCTTTGTCTCTGTCTGTCTTTGTCTCTGTCTGTCTTACTTCTTCTTTTCTTGTCCTCTACTGTCTTTGTCTCTGTCTGTCTTACTTCTTCTTTTCCTCCCCTCTCCTGTCTTTGCCTCTGTCTGTCGTGCTTTTCCTGTCAAGTGCTACTTGTATGCTGCTGTGTCAATGTGCGTCTCTTTACCCGCACCAAAGGGGAACAGGCTAAGCCGGTCATGCTGTGTGAAGGAGAATGTCCATTTTTTTCTTTGACACCGTGAATGGATTTTTACGAATTTTTTCCCTAGCTAGTTGATGTAATTTACAGTAATATTCTGTCAGTAAATGTGCCGAGGTTTAATTTTCTTAGTAAGTGGTTCATGATGTGTGAGTTTAATTTGTGGAGCGTTTCAGAGACACGGTTCCTACGGCCTCTTTGAATTCGAGGAGTCCTTGAAAACTCCTGAAACTTGCATTCAAGGAAAAATTTCCTTGAAATCTTGAATTTCACCAGGTCAGACATTAACAAAATTTTTGTCGGAAAATGGCAACTACGATTCCTTTCAGACAAGTGTAGGCCAAACAGAAATATTCTTTGGGCATGAATGTCTTGACCAAATCTCCTTGAAATCTCCTTGAATTTGGTGGGGAGTTTATGGCCGGAACCCTGTAGAAAGGTGTTTGTGGGGGGGTTGTGAGGGATTGGCTCAAATCTTTGTGCGTGGTGGAGGATCCTGCGCTGTTCGAAGACGGCCTGGACGGCTGGCTGGTGGAGCAGAGGAGGTCACGAATGGTGCGGAGGTCACAGATGCTGCAGAGGTCATGAAGGGTGCGGAGGTGCCCGGTTTTTTTCTTCTTTGCTTTGGGGTTTTTTATCAACTTTACAATAAATGTAGAAAGTATTTCTTGTATTTCCTTTTTTTTTCTCCTTTGAATATGCATTGTGAATATATGTCAGGCTCCCATCTAGGACAGCTTTGTTGATGTACTCTAGTTTGGTCTTGAGGAAGAGGATTCATATCACTCTTTTGTAGCTTTTTGCTGAATATGTAGAATTTTGGGGTGGGTTGTTTCTTTTTGATTGGTTTTTTAAAAATTGTGAATGATCTATACATTAGGTGCAGCAATTTGGGCTGTATGTGAAAGTGTGTGTGGACTGTACAGAAGTACAGTCGGTGAAGTGAGTCATTGTTGGCGTGTCGCATCGACTGGTTGGGGGGCTTCTGCCTTGTTCTCTCCCACCTTCTTAGCGCCCCCCCCCCCCCAATCGTCCCCTTTTGGCTGAACTGTGGAGCAAAATTGCACAGAAAGTAAAGTGTGGATAAATAGAAGAATCTATAACTGTGGCAGCTGTTGAAACATTCTGTAGCCAACTCTGAAACGGACTCTGTAGGTATAGGTCAACAGGTCAACTGCTGCTTTAGGCAGTTTAACAAGACAATTGGAGGGGGAGGGAGGTGAGGCTTTTTCATTTTGTTGGAATCTGGCATTGGAGAACAAACTATGTAGACCAACACCAAAGTGTCCTGTAGGTTTTATTGTGAACGGTAGACAGAGTCAAAAAAAAAGTAAATAACTACGGCTGTAGTTTTCACAATGATGGTAGATGTAGAATCAAAGACACCCCTGACCCCAGCTGCTTTTTAGCCAAAAACTATAAATGCATTGATCAAGAGGAGAGGGGGGGGGGGGGGGAGAGAGAGAGAGAGAGAGAGAGGGGGGGGGGGGGGGGGGAGGGAGAAGACGTGGCCAGTCAGGTGCAATATGGCGCGCTGTTTGCTCATTTGTTGGTTTTGGTTTGTTTTTTCGTATCTATGAGTTGATCAAAGTTATTCCGGTGGTGAGCAAGTGCTTAGGTAAACTGCGACGTTATTTCTGGAACAAGTGCTAAACTTTTTTGGCCTTTTTGTCAATTTTTTGGACATTTTTGAAGAAAGTAGATGTATATCGTCTGCAAGCTGTACAACTGTTCCACGCCTGCTGAAAAAAAAATATTTGAAGAGAAAGAAAAATCTGTTTCATCTTTTAGCAAAAATTGTACCCAAGTTATATATTTTCTCTTGCTTTTTTTTTCAACGTTTAGAACTTAAATTTCGGAAAATAATTTTTGAAGCTCATGCAACTGATACCTCAAATTTAAAAAAACTTTAAATAGAAAAAACAGCTTTGAACAGCTGACTGAGGGTGTATAACGATTGTGAGGACGAAACGTCGCTTGTGTTTTCTTCTTGTCTGTTTATTGGTATTAATTATTGTGTGTCTGTGTATGTGTGTGTATGTGTGTGTGAAATGAGTTTCTGGTTTTATCGGACGGAGAAAAGGCAATTCCATACACAGAGCCCGTAAACTATTTGTGTAGATTCAGATTGTTAGCCTGGCTCTGTATGATTCGCTCATATGACCTTATGCAGTTGCGAGCGCCGTAAAACCCTCTACCATAAAAAAAAACATAAGAAGAAAACAAGTGTCCCTCATCAGGGGAGCTTAAATACTTTTCTCAACGCATCATCATGTATTTGAATGTACGGAAGGGCCATCAGTTGATTTGTCAAATTATCATGTCAGTCATTTGTTGTGTCAAAATGTCATGTCGTGTGAGTAACTTCATGCATTGTGTGAGCTTCTTTGCCTGATTATCTTTTGTAGAAAGCCATATGGAAAAGAATGTAGAAGGAGCTTGCTGATCGGTTTTCTTCCGGTTCCCTGGTCTGTGTCTCTATTTATAGCGCTGACAGACACAGATTTTGATTTGGATGAATTTTGTTAGTCGGCCATGTTGTTGATGGAGGCTAAGGTAGAAAAGGAAACATTTCCAGGTTTTGCTTGTGTGGTGAAGATGAACGTGGTTGTAATGTAGAAGTGGTGTTGTAGCGCAGCATGGGGGAATGACCATATCACAGAGTGCCATGACAGAATGGGACGAGTCAGTGTGTAGACCAGTGTGTAGTAATTGAGTAGTGAGTGTTTCTCCGATGTGATGTTACTTGTACAATAGTGGGGGGGGGTTCTTGTTTCTGTGTCTGTTGTCCGTGTGCCCATATTATCGTGCAGGTGAACATTTTGCTTTTTTTACCGCAACCGGCCAAATGATACACACAGCTTTACGCTCTTCAAATGTGTGCCAGGATTTTTACCTCATGGGTCCCGGAGCAAGTGAAGGCTGGAGTATATCTGACTTGTCAACATGATTTTTGCCCACATTTTCTCTGGTTCTGTCTTTGAAAAGTGGTAAATTTCACAATTTTAGTCTTTAAAAATTTGGCAGATCTGTTTTCAGAAGAAAAAAACTTCATTACTTTCTAATTATTTACCTGAATTGTTGGAAAGCATGAAACGTAATTTGGTGGAAGCACAGTTAGAGTTGAACATCAACTATGTTTGTGTGTGCATCTTTGAAACTATACTTTTTTTCGTCTGTGTGTGTGTGTCTGTGTGTGTGTCTGTGTGTGTGTCTGTGTGTCTGTGAGCAAAGGGATGTGTAGTACAATGAACCAAACAAAGAGAGGTGTGTAAGAGTGTATGTGTGTGTGCTTGTGTGTATTTGTATGTATGTCTGAGTAAATTGAGGAGGTGTGTGTACGGTTATTTTAGCATGTTGCTACCCTGGACTTAGAATTACAAAATTCTTGCTCATAATTTTTGGTCGTTTTGTGTTACTATGACCTTGAGGTCACAAACCAAATGTTCAGTTTGCTCTGTCAAAATCGTAATAGTCGTTATCAAGATCTTTAAAGAATTGCTCGCGAAAAAGCTTCGCATGTTGTGAAACTCAAATTGTTTATGTGAGATTTGAACTTTTCTCCAAACTAGGTACTAGCTTGTAGAATTTTGTCCTTCTGGGGTAGTGGTGGGTGTGGGTGTGTGTCGGTGTGTGTGAGTGTGTATGTGTCGGTGTGTGTGTGTCTGTATGTGTCGGTGTGTGTGTGTTGGTGTGTGTGTGTGTTTGCTGAGGGATCGTGTGTAAGATTATTTCAACAGTGAATTTTTCACAAAAAGCGAGAAGAAGGTGTAGTGAGTTGTTCTATATCAGCAAAGGATTTCCTTTTCTTCACTGTTCAGTGTCTTCTGTTTTGTCATTTGATCACATGGTCTCCTCGTTGATATATATAACGTTGGTATTGACTGTATTCGCAGTGTATGACAGCCGTACCATTATTTA